TAGTTCAGTTCTAGTTCAGTTCTAGTTCAGTTCTAGTTCAGTTCTAGTTCAGTTCTAGTTCAGTTCTAGTTCAGTTCTAGTTCAGTTCTAGTTCTAGTTCAGTTCTAGTTCAGTTCTAGTTAAGTTCTAGTTCAGTTCTAGTTCAGTTCTAGTTCAGTTCTAGTTCAGTTCTAGTTCAGTTCTAGTTCAGTTCAGTTGCCTGTCCGTCTGTTAAAAATAGACAGGACCTAAACGGAAGAAGTTTTATGGATTTAAATTCTCTAAATATGGGTCCATATTAGTTTCTAATACCATCTAGCCATATCCGTCTATCTGTCTGTCCACCATAGGTCGCCATATCCGTCTGTCGGTCTGAAAACACCATAGGTCACCAACGGGGGTGGCTAGAGGCCTTGAAAATCTTCTGAAATTTAATTGTATTCATGTTTTAAACAGCTGTTTTAATTAAATACAACAAAAACGTAAAAGTTCTTCAAATAAATGGTATAACTGAAATGAAATCTAGATTTTCTTTTAATATTCTTAAAATTTAACCTTATAAGTTTATTACCCCCTCTATTAGCCAGTAGCCCCTTTAGGTCATGGATAGTGCACAATGGGTAAAATAAAAAAAAACAGTATTTATTAGAAAAACAACAACAACAATGATAAAGCTTAAGATAGTCAATGAACTACTTTAAAAGTTAAAGTTTGTGGCTTCTTTGAGAAACTCAAAATTTTAAATGAAAAACGAAAAAAATAACAACAAAAAGAAAAACCATAAAAATAATTACAAAAAAACACAATTGATTTTATAGAAAATGAAAAGAAACGAAAAATAAGCTAAAAAAAATAAAATTTTTTAATTTTTTTTAAAGAAACTGAAACAAACTTTTTAACACAATCAAAAAAATTTTTTTAATTTTTTTTAATTATTTCAAAATTGAAATTTTCAAATACTTTTTTAACACAATCCTTTGTTTTTTATTTGTTGTTATAAACAGGATTTTTGTTGTTTTTAATTGTTAATTGTTTACAAAAATTCAAAAATTTTCTGCCATTCTTGCACAATAGGTATTTTCTTTTAATTTTTGTAATTATTTTGGTTCATTTTTTTTTAAATTTTTTTGTTAAGCACTTTTTAATTTAATTATTTTCATAATATTGAATCATTTATAAAAAAATTAATTGTTTTAAAACACGCCGCGTTTGGTTGTATTGCATTAAATGTTAAAAACTCAACTGATTTAAAGTCAGCTACAACAAAAAAGTTTCGGTTCAAAAAAACAATATACGAAAAAATATACAAATACTCTCATAAAAACCAACCAACGTCTTAACACAAACAACATTTAACAAATTCTCATAGTAAAACAAACACAACAACCACAAGATTTATTTCTTTTAAAAACAACAAGTGTTTTTTTTTTTTGGTTTTGGCTATAGCGATGATGAAAAGTATATAACATACAACTAACATTTTATTTGTAAATGAAATAATAATGCCAATCACTGCTAAAATTAAAGAGAAATTTGTTAATAACTTTAGCTTAATGTAGAAAGAAAAGTTAGTTATATGGCAGCAACATTTCATCAATGATTTGTGTACTGTCTTTACTATAAGTTAGTGTACATTAGTATTAGTTTTAAGTCATATTTCTATGGCCAACAGCAAAAACAGTCTAACTCGAAAATTATCAACACATTCACTAATCTAAGGACTAGTTAATAATATATTAACTATTGATTACTACTGGTCTTAAGATTATACCAAAAACTAACATAATACAATTTCTCTTTAAAACCACTTAATCGTTTAACATTCATAACCACACATTTGTCTATGTATGTGTCTGTTTTAATTGCATTTTTACTATTTAACTCATAAATTTATAAACGCAGCACCTCAGAAAGAGAAAAAGTTGTTTGTTCAATTTTTTTCAAGAAAAAATCTCTGTTTTATTTATACATCAAATAATAAAAAAGCAACAGCTAAAAAAAAAATATCTATAAACTTCACATTTGTGCAAAATCTAGTAAAACAAGATATAAAATAACTAAAAAAAAATGAAATATAAAAAAAATCAACCAAGCAAAACCAAGATTTAAAATGGTTAAAAACAAAAGTGTATAGCAAAACTGAAAAAGATGAAAGATTTGAAGACAAAAAGGCATAAACGTAGTCAGGATGGAGTGAAGGGGGTCTTCCCATAGAAAACTGTCTGACTGTATGAAAACTGTCTTCCCAAAGAGGACACTTTTTTATATGAAAACTGTCGTCCCAAAGGAAATACTTTTCTATAAGGAAATTTTTTTCCCAAAGAAGACACTTTTCTATATGGAAACTGTCTTCCTAAAGAAGACACTTTTGTATATGAAAACTCTCATCCCAAAGAAGATACTTTTCTATATGAAAACTGTTTTCCCAAAGAAGACACTTCTCTAAATGAAAACTGACTTCCCAAAGAACACACTTTTCTATATGAAAACTGTCTTCCCAAAGAAGACACTTTTCTATATGAAAACTGTCTTCCCAAAGACACTTTTCTATATGAAAACTGTCTTCCCAAAGAAGACACTTTTCTATAAAAAAACTGTCTTCCCCAAGAAGACACTTCTCTATATGCAGACAGTCTTCCCAAAGAAGACACTTTTCTATATGAAAACTGTCTTCCCAAAGAAGACACTTTTCTATATGAAAACTGTTGTCCTAAAGAAGACACTTTTTTATATGATAACTGTCTTCCCAAAGAAGACACTTTTCTATATGAAAGCTGTCTTCCCCAAAAAGACACTTTTCTATATGAAGACAGTCTTCCCAAAGAAGACTCTTTTCTATATGAAAACGGTCTTCCCAAAGAAGACACTTTTCTATATGAAAACTGTCTTCCCAAAGAAGACAATTTTCTAGACGAAAACTGTCTTCCCAAAGAAGACACTTTTCTATATGAAAACTGTCTTCCCAAAGAAGACACTTTTCTATATGAAAACTGTCTTCCCAAAGAAGACACTTTTCTATATGAAAACTGTCTTCCCAAAGAAGACACTTTTCTATATGAAAACTGTCTTCCCAAAGAAGACACTTTTCTATATGAAAACTGTCTTCCCAAAGAAGACACTTTTCTATATGAAAACTGTCTTCCCAAAGAAGACACTTTTCTATATGAAAACTGTCTTCCCAAAGACGACACTTTTCTATATGAAAACTGTCTTCCCAAAGAAGATACTTTGCTATATGAAAACTTTATTCCCAAGGAAGACTCTTTTCTATATGAAAACTGTCTTCCCAAAGAAGACACTTTTCTATATGAAAACTGTCTTCCTAAAGAAGACACTTTTCTATATGAAAATTGTCTTCCCAAAGAGGACACTTTCCTAAATGAAAACTGTCGTCCCAAACAAGACACTTTCTATATGAAAACTGTCTTCCCAAAGAAGACACTTTTCTGTCTGTCTTCCTAAAAAATACACTTTTCTATAGTAAAACTGTCTTCCCAATGAAGACACTTTTCTATATGAAGACACTTTTCTAGACGAAAACTGTCTTCCCAAAGAAGACACTTTTCTATATGAAATCTATCGTCCCAAAGAAGACACTTTTCTATATAAAAAATGTCTTGCCAAAGAAGACACTTTTCTATATGAAAACTGTCTTCCCAAAGAAACACTTTTCTATATGAAAACTGTCTTCCCAAAGAAGACACTTATCTATATGGAAACTGTCGTCTCAAATAAGACACTTTCCTAGACGAAAACTGTCTTCCAAAAGGAAACAATTTCCTATATGAAAACTGTCTTACCAAAGAAGACTTTTTTCTATATGAAAACTGTCTTTATAAAGAAGACACTTTTCTATATGAAAACTGTCTTCCTAAGGAAGAAACATTCCTTTGCAGGACGTAGCTTTTTCAATTAGAAATTTCCTTGTTATTAGATTTTCTATTAAATATCTGTTCTATTTTGGTCGACTGATTTAATTCCTATTACCATTTTTTTAAATAATTTATAATTGTTTTCTATTTTGCTTTGGGCAAAGAAAAAAATCAAATAAATTAACTGACATACTTTTTTCATTAACCCCTTTTTTACGTTTTTTCCTAATTAAAGTTATTTTATTATTTATTACTTTTATTCGCTACAAAAATGGAAAGATTTTTTTTCAATTAAATTACATATAAATAATTGAAAAGGAAAAAAACAAAATATGCGACCCAGAAGATGTCCAGATGAAAACTTTCAGCTCTAGAGTGATGCATATAGTTTTCCTTAACGTAATGTACTTGCAACACAAATCAAATAAAATTTTCTATATAAAAAGGAAAGAAAAATAAAACTCTATTAAATAATAATAAAAAAAAATAGATATTCCCTGGTATACAAATGCAAAATAAAATGTAAAGTAAGAAATGAATAAAACCAAAGTAGAAAACAAAATAAAATAATGGAGAATAATATAATACAATAAAAAATCGTAGTTATAAATAAAATGCAGAAAAGAGAAAAAAATTAAATTTTCCATGATACTTTTTTTTCGCTTTTGCTACGTTTTGTAGCCTCGAGATAATAACAGACTGGAGAAAAAAGTTTTGTTTTCAATGTGGTCTTGCTGTGAGTGTTGCATGCACACAGTATGAGAAAATAAGTAATGGAAGCAGTAATGGGTTAAAAAAGAGCAGAGAATTAAGAAAATTTGAAATTTATATAAAATATTTGCTCAGTTTACAATCAGCGTCGCAGCATTGTATCGTTAATCAAAATATTATGACATACAACGATACAACACTACGACACCGATTGTGCGCTGGTCAACTGTTTTATATGAGGATACATGTTTGCTGAAAGCATCCTTTTTGATCCAAAGTAGAGCAATTTGTAGATTTCTTTACAGAAATCCGAACATTAAAATTGTTTGTTTTTAAGGTAGATTGTTAATTTTCGATCCTTCTAATCTTGTAAAAGATCCCTAGAGGTATTAGTTCTTTGAGTAGTTTTAGAAAAAAAAAAAATTATAACTTTATTACCTTGAATAACAAATTGTGTTTTCTGACAGGTATTCGATGATTTTGGAACCTTTTTTCCTGCAACATAATGAAAAGAAATTGAATAAGTTTTATAAGTTTTAAAAAAAATATTTTATTGATTTTTATGGACTTAGGATTGTTTTGGCCCTTTATAGAATTTAGCACGCTATTACAAAACTTTAAGAAATGTTTTGAAAAAGGACACTGAGCATCTCTAAGTCTTTTGGTCTGAAAAGGAAATTTTTATAGAAAGATTGAGTTATTGCTTGAGGAATATAGAATTCGAACACTGTCTTCCAATAGAGCTATATTTTCTATGCAAAAACACTCTTACTTCTATATGAAAACTGTCTTCCGAACGAAGAAACTTTTCTGTATGAAAACTGTCTTCCCAAAGAAGACACTTTTCTATATGAAAACTGTCTTCCCAAAGAAGATACGTTTTTATATGAATGCTATCTTCACATAGAAGACAAAAACTTCCCAAAGAAGACACTTTTCTATATGAAAACTGTCTTCAAAAGAAGACACTTTTCTATATGAAAACTGTCTTCCAAAAGAAGACAATGTTCTATATGAAAACTGTCTTCCCAAAGATGACACTTTTCTATATGAAAACTGTCTTCTAAAAAATGGCTTCCCAAAAAAGACACTTTTCTGTATGAAAACTGTCTTCCCAAAGAAGACAATTTTCTATATGAAAACTGTCTTCTAAAAGAGGACACTTTTTTATATGAATATTGTGTTCCCAAAGAAGACTCTTTTTTAAATAAAAACAGTCCTCGAAAAGAAGACTCTATGAAAACTGTCTTCCCCCAGAAGACACTTTTCTATACAAAAACTGACTTCTAAAAGAAGACACTTTTCATACCAAAGCGTCTTTCCAAAAAAGAAACTTTTCTATATGAAAACTTCGTTGCCAAAGAAGAGTCTTTTCTATATAAAAACAATCTTCTAAAACAAGACTCTATCAAAAATGGCTTCCCAAAGAAGACACTTTTCTATATGAAAACTGTCTTCACAAAGAAGACACTTTTCTATATGACAACTGTCTTCCCAATGAAGACACTTTTCTATATGACAACTGTCTTCCCAAAGAAGACACTTTTCTATATGGAAACTGTCTTCCCAAAGGAGACATTTTTCTATATGAAAACTGTCTTCCCAAAGAAGACACTATTCTATATGAAAACTGTCTTCCCAAAGAATACACTTTTCTATATGAAAACTGTCTTCCCAAAGAATACACTTTTCTATATGAAAACTGTCTTCCCAAAGAAGACACTTTTCTATATGAAAACTGTCTTCCCAAAGAAGACACTTTTCTATATGAAAACTGTCTTCCCAAAGAAGACACTTTTCTATATGAAAACTGTCTTCCCAAAGAAGACACTTTTCTATATGAAAACTGTCTTCCCAAAGAAGACTCTTTTGTATATGAAAACTGTCTTCCCAAAGAAGACACTTTTTTATATGAAAACTGTCTTCCCAAAGAAGACTCTTTGAAAACTGTCTTCCCAAAGAAGACACTTTTCTATATAAAAATTGTCTTCCCAAATGAGATACTTTTCTCTATTAAAACTGTCTTCCCAAAGAAGACACTTTTCTGTATAAAAACTGACTTCCCAAAGAAGACACTTTTCTATATGAAAACTGTCTTCCCAAAGAAGACACTTTTCTATATGAAAACTGTCTTCCCAAAGAAGACACTTTTCTATATGAAAACTGTCTTCCAAAAGAAGACTCTTTTGTATATGAAAACTGTCTTCCCAAAGAAGACACTTTTTTATATGAAAACTGTCTTCCCAAAGAAGACTCTTTGAAAACTGTCTTCCCAAATGAGATACTTTTCTCTATTAAAACTGTCTTCCCAAAGAAGACACTTTTCTGTATAAAAACTGACTTCCCAAAGAAGACACTTTTCTATATGAAAACTGTCTTCCCAAAGAAGACACTTTTCTATATGAAAACTGTCTTCCCAAAGAAGACACTTTTCTATATGACAACTATCTTCCCAAAGAAGACACTTTTCTATATGAAAACTGTCTTTCCAAAGAATACACTTTTCTATATGAAAACTATCTTTGCAAAGAATACACTTTTCTATATGAAAACTGTCTTCCCAAAGAAGACACTTTTCTATATGAAAACTGTCTTCCAAAAGAATACTCTTTTGTATATGAAAACTGTCTTCCCAAAGAAGACATTTTTTTATATGAAAACTGTCTTCCCAAAGAAGACACTTTTCTATATGAAAACTGTCTTCACAAAGAAGACACTTTTCTATATGGCAACTGTCTTTCCAATGAAGACACTTTTCTATATGACAACTGTCTTCCCAAAGAAGACACTTTTCTATATGGAAACTGTCTTCCCAAAGGAGACATTTTTCTATATGAAAACTGTCTTCCCAAAGAAGACACTATTCTATATGAAAACTGTCTTCCCAAAGAATACACTTTTCTATATGAAAACTGTCTTCCCAAAGAATACACTTTTCTATATGAAAACTGTCTTCCCAAAGAAGACACTTTTTTATATGAAAACTATTTTCTCACTTTCTATATGAAAACTACGTTTCCAAAGAAGACTCTTCTATATGAAAACAGTCTTCTATAAGAAGACAACATGAAAAGTGGCTTTCCAAAGAAGACTCTTTTCTATATGAAAACTAAACTGTCATCACAAACGAAATTCGACAGAATGAAAGAATATTTAAGTTAAATTGGTGAAACCTATAAAGTATTTAAGAATAGTTCACACCTTTATTGTAACACTGTGCTATTTATTTCCCCATTACTGTTTCTTCTCTATTTCTGTTTTGGCTAAAAGTTAGTTTGGTTTGCAAATTGTAAGTAGTATAATGGTAAATAAAGTTTTTCTTAGCTATTGTGGTTGTTTGTGTTGTTATTGCAACAAAAACAACAACAACTTTGCAAAACCCTATCTTAACAACATATTGGCGTACAAGTGTATTTTTATAGTCATATTACTCTGACTGAAACTTTTAAAACTTTGGTGTATTTCTTTCTTCCATATGACTGACTGGCTGACAATCATGATGGTTACAAGATACGAGGTATGATAGACAAGACACATTATACATAAATCTAAGTAGTATCTAGTAACTTTACATACATACATCTATGTATGTACATATGTATGTAAGTGTAAGTTTGCATACAAATAAAATTTGTTGTTTTTGATTTTAAATTTGAATAATGCTGATGTGAGGAAATAGTCGTATATAATAATGGTTTATTTCTTGTCTATAATAGAGAGCAACAGCAGCAGCAAAAAAAGATTTATTTAATAATAAAGAATAGGAAGAATAAGTAATAATAATAGATTTTCTAGTACATATTCATATTTGTATTCAATTGTTATTTTATTCTTGTTACTAGTAAAGTGTTATAACAATAAGTTAGAAAAACACTAGAGCAAAATCTATTAGTTAATGTAAATAGTAATAACAAAGCAATATAACTGTAGTTAGAAATACTAATAGCTTAAGTCTATATTTCTCTATTTCTTAATACAATATTTGGTGAAAAGTTATGTACAATTTTCTTTTATTTTTTCTCTAAAGTATAACTTTCGACTTAAGCTGCTTTTGCTTGTATACATACTTATAATTTATTAAATATAAAATAACAAAACAAGTTATAAGTATATAAAAACTTAATATTAAAAGTTTAAACGACGGATGGATGTTTGTTTTAAAGGAAATACATCTATAAACCACCAGCACAACCACCTCCGGTTTGCTTTTCTATAATATTCCAACATAGTTTTACAGTGTTTGCATATGAATGAGACAAAAATGGTGAAAAAATTATTGAAAATGTAAAAGAAATTTAAAATTATTAGTTTTAAAATATTGAATAAAATTGTTGAGAACATTTCTGGAAGTTATTTGAAAAGTAAGGAAAACGATAATGATTTATAAAACATAGAATACCCCAAGGTATAGACCAAAGACTATGCTATAGTGTCAGCTCTGGACTTTGTTATAGACAAGACTATAGAAGACACTTTTCTATATGAAAACTGCCTTCCCAAAAAAGACACCTTTCTATACGAAAACTGTATTCCCAAAGAAGACACTTCTCTATACGAAAAGTGTCTTCCTAAAGAAGACACTTTTCTATATGAAAACTGTCTTCCCAAAGAAGGCACTTTTCTATATGAAAACTGTCTCCCAAAAGAGACACTTTTCTATATGAAAACTGTCTTCCCAAAGGAGACACTTTTCTATATGAAAACTGTCTTCCCAAAGAAGACACTTTTGTATATGAAAACTGTCTCCCAAAGAAGACACTTTTCTGTATGAAAACTGTCTTCCCAAAGAACACACTTTTCTACATATATGAAAACTGTCTTCCCAAAGAATACACTTTTCTATATAAACACTGTCTTCCCAAAGAAAACATTTTTCTGTATGAAAACTGTCTTCCCAAAAAAGACAATTTTCTATATGAAAACTGTCTTACCAAAGAAGACACTTTTCTATATGAAAACTGTGTACCCAAAGAAGACAATTTTCTTTATGAAATAAGACATTTTTCTGTTTCATAAAGACTGTTTTCCCAAAGAAGACACTTTTCTATATGAAAACTATCTTCCTAAAGAAGACACTTTTCTATATGAAAACTGTCTGCCAAAAGAAAACACGTTTCTATATGAAAACTTTCTTCCTAAAGAAGACACTTTTCTATATGAAAACTGTCTTCCCAAAGAAGAAACTTTTCTATATGAAAACTGTCTTCCCAAAGAAGGCACTTTTCTATATGAAAACTGTCTCCCAAAGAAGACACTTTTTTATATATGAAAACTGTCTTCCCAAAGAAGACACTTTTCTATATGAAAACTGTCTTCCCAAAGAAGACACTTTTCTATATGAGAACTGTCTTCCAGAAGACACTTTTCTATATGAAAACTGTCTTCCAGAAGATTCTTTTCCATACGAAAACTGTCTTCCCAAAGAAGACACTTTTTTATATGAAAACTGTCTTCCTAAAGAAGACACTTTTCTATATGAAAACTGTCTTCCTAAA